TATAATCAAATTAAGATCGAGATATAATAATTGTGATATACATTAATATAGGTGAATTTAAAATATGTGATTTGATAGGAAAAACAGGTTGACTATGGAAGAGATTCATGGAAATACTGTAACCAACTGACACACTTTCTACAATTTGTAATGGAAGATGGGTTTTTTATTTTTATGTTTGTTTGTCCTTGTTCAAAAACAAATAAAAACAGTTTTTTAAAAAAAGGAAAGATTGCAGCTGGTGCACAAACCAAAGCTATGCAAAGGCTGTCAAAGTCATAACCACCACCTGAACTTCGAGCAGGAGTTGCGGGTTCAGGAGAACTCCTAAATTGTGAACTGAGTCTGAATGGGGTAAGACAACCCCATTCAGACCCGAATCTTGAAACTCCATTCACCCAAAGCCACTTGCCAGGTTCAGTTGCAGTTTGTTGTCCCCATCCAGGCCCCAGCTCTCCAGACACTATGAGAGGATAACAATAGCATCACTTGGGTCACAAGATGTAAAGCATCAATACCAGCAAATTGATGATATGTCAACCCTTGGTGATCTCACCCAGCGACTTCATGTGGATGTTAAACAGGAATGGAGAGAGTACTAAGCCTTGCGACACAGCATAAGAGAGCGGCCGGGGGCTGGATCTCTCACTCCCTATCAATACCGATTGGGAGTGGCCTTGGAGAGAGGAGCTAAACTAGCACAGAACTGTGCCACCCAGTCCTAAGCTCTGTAGCTGGACCAAAAGATACCATCATCAATGGTCTCAAAGGCTGCTAAGAGGTCCAGGAGAATCAGGATGGTTGCACTACCACCATACTACTGTCACTAGAGATCATCCATAAGTGTGACCAACGTAGTGTCTGCCCCTTAGCTGGGCCTGAAACCAGACTGAAAAAAATCTAGAAATTCTGTTTCATCTAGGATCCTCTGAAGCTGCCAAGCAGCTACCTTTTCTACCACTTTTCCTAAAAAGGGGTAAATATGTTATCAATTTAGAGTCATTATGTTCCCACTAACGTTCCAAGTCCAACTCCTTTTGATTCTTGTGTCATTTTAGTATTGAACTTCAGCTGAAGATTAATGTCAGGCATAAAGAATCAGGACATTACTTAAGTTGCAGTTCAGAAGATTTATTACTCAAGCCTATACAAAAGAATCCAATCAACTAAAGTTCAATATCAAAATGGCATCAGATAAACATCAGCAGAATATATTAGGCCATTTGCGGGACTATAACAACTCTAAGCTTATGATGCACTTAACTATCTCCCCCAGATCTGTGGACTCTTCTAGAGCCATCCTAGTTTCACTTGATTAGCTAATCTGTTTTTCTATTCATAATTTCTATATGTGTATGCTGGTACTTCATCACTTTTTTTCCAATATAACATTAACAATTCCTTCTCCACATTTACATTTTGAATCTAGTAGTGAGTGGAACACCAGATAGCAATAACACCTACCATACTAATTAAAAGAACATTGAGTACTATTGGTCACTACTGCCATTAGTGGATTAGTTGAACTAAAAAGGAAGCACAAAGAAAAAGATGGAGAAATTGATACTAAATCTATTCAATTATAGTTGGTTTCTTCTATGATTTTCCCCTTTTCAAGCATGCATCAATATTAAATTGGAGGTTACATGAGCTGAAAACTATTTTGATGTTCAGAGGAGTGGGAGGTGATAACCTCTTCTCAGTTTGGCCATGTCACTACAGAAAGCACATGTCTGCCACACGCATATATAGCAGTTTGCTGCCTGGGGTTATAGCAGATGACTTCTCCAACAACTATGGCCAATCCTGAGGTCCAATCTCCAGCGAAATATGAACATGCTCCCTCATTTCCCCACTGCACTCTCCACAGATGTACTGGCCAACAGATACTGCACCCCAGGGACCCAGTTGGCCTAGACACCAGAGGGGATGTTAACTGCCCATACTGTTTACCCAGTTCCAGAATCCATTCAACAAAACAGCAACCATCTCCAACCTTCCTAACTAGTTCAATCATGTAATTTCTCCACACTCCCACTCATAACAATCTTCTCTTCTCAGATGCTAATGGGAAAATCCAAAGCATTCCCAGGCAGCTGCAGACGCACTGAACCAGGCACATACAGTAATTAACCATACATCAAAGCAAAATAAAAAGCAAGAAAGCATATTTTGGGACTTCCCAAATATTCCAAGTCATGAGGGACAGAAAGGGGAACCAAAAAGCTAGACTAGTGATGGTGAACCTTTTAGACACCCAGTGCCCAAACCAAGTGTGCACATGCCCAAACTGAAAGGTGTGTGCATGCAAACATGCATGTGCAGATATGCACATGCATGGACATGCACAAGCATGTGCATGCATGGGCATGTACAGCAGAGACCCAAAGACCAGCTGGCCAACAGGAGGCAGGCTATCCCAACATCAGCAGTGCAGCAAGAGGTAAGATCTTTTTCTTTTGTGAGCTTCTGTTTCGTCGTTTACAGGGAAACAGAAGTTCACAAAAGAAATGCCACGGAGATCTGACGTTGACGATGTAGTGCCAGCAGAGAGGGATGCCGTAGATTCGCTATCACAGAGTTAGACTGTTCCCCATTTCTCATATCAGAATTATTTATGAGTCCTTGGTTGAGCAGCTAAGGCCAGCGTTGAAAAGTTAATTGAAGCAAGGTGGGTTGGTTGCTGAATTCATTGGTAATCAGTCACAGTATGTTTGTCCTTGACTTGATTATTGTTTTTATTCTGTTGGTTTTATGATCCAGAAAGGCACCTGTAGGGTTTTCACATAGATCTCTATGTACTCCTTTAAAAAGCATTATAATCTTAAATTGTACCCTAGCTAAAAGGTAACTCCATTACTTTTTACTTTGTAAAAAGGGATCCATTCTCAGGGATCTGGAACGGTCCACTGTAGAAATGCCTGCTTCTGCTGTGAGAACATGGTACACTGAATTTATATACACATCACATTTTCATAACCCTTGCACTTTCTGGTTTGTCATTCCAAAACCTGTAAGGAAATATCTCCTCAGACCAGAAGCAACTTCAAAGTCTTTTTCAATTCTGCTTCCAGAGTGAGTGGAAGACCACGGTAATAAATAATATATCACTTTTTATTGGAATATTGATCTTTTCATATTATTTGAATACCTAGCAATATAAAAAGCCTTTCCTACAAAATTGATATTGTCTCAGTTTATTGGACTACAGCGTCAATAACTCTGAAGTTTATGTCTGGCCGATAGCAGATTGAAGAAGCCTAAATTAAGAGAACTGTATTGATAGAAAATTTAATAGGTTATTGCATCAACATATAGCAATAGGATTTCAGTTTCATCTATGGCACATTTGATCTGTTTCATTTATAAATGTATTTTTAAAAACCCATCATTTTTTCTTTCAGATACCGTAGTGAGAAGGTGACAATCAGTTATGCAGAATACATGGCTTCACGACAGCATTGTTTTCAAAATGGCACTCTTCATGCCCCACCCCTCTACAATCATTACTCCTGACACAAAGCTGCATGACCAGTCCCGCCCCCCAGCTGCCAGCTACGACATCATTGGAGCAGATGCCTCCTCTTCCTGGTCCAGTTACTTCTATTACTGCACCATTTTATGATGCTAGCTTCCGTTGCCAAGTCTGCCTTCCAGTTGATTATGGGTGGTGGGGGCTACCAAGTGAGTGCAACTGAATTTCAGAGGCCCAAGCTTACTTCATTTTCAGAATGAGGGTTCATTTGGACTGAGTACCTGGGACCATTGCCGTTCAATAGAGAGAAACTTGAGGAATGGCAGTACCTTTTCAGATTGCTCTGTCTCTGTATTAAATTGCACTGTGTTCATTTGAATTGTTAATTACAATGCCCCCTGATCAAGTAGGAGATTTCGTCTGGCAGTCTGGCAACGGAGTCCAACAAAAGATTTTTAGGTTATTTGTATTTTCTTTTTTTTTTAATCTCTAATATTTATCTGCCATAAGCTACGTAGTCCTAACATGTCCCAGCAAACATTTTAGGACTTGTTATAAGGATGGTATGTCTGGAATTCTCCTTGCAGAAGATGGCAATTAATCAAAGATTTAAAAGGTAAAATAAAATTTACTGCAGATAAAATGCATTGCCTATTCATATCCAGAAGATTTTAATTTATACACCTAGCTACTTTTACTTTTGACACAAAAAGAAAATAACTTACTAGATAAGATACTGCATGCAAGAAGGCAAACCATGGGTTGTGTATGGAAGTAGCATAGGTTTCCTTGTATCCCAAAAATATAATCTTTGGGGTTTTTTGGGTGTCTTACTTAAAATTGAGATAGGATTTGTAAATGAATTGCAGCAGATCTTTTCCCACAAAGCTATCCTTATTGTAATAAAAAGAGTGTGGATTTTTGTTATTGAAAATATTCCATGAAACCTGTGTTTTTCATAGGCAGTGGTTTTTTTTGCTAGTGTAACACTAATAGGTAATAAAACACATTAAATGTTAGCTGAAGTGGGTTATCAGATCTGCATGTGTCCTTGCTGCACTGATGCTTCAGTTCTAAATAATATACAGTAATTGGAAGTAAAACAAATGCGTTTAAATTAATTGCTTCCAGGTAATTGTACTTAGAATTGGAACCTAAACAATGTTATTTACCCACCAAAAAAAAAAATTGGGATTCAAGTTTTAATATCCTGTAGATTTTCCATTGTTAATTGAATATGCAGGACACTATATAGTAAACAAGATTTTTTTCAAAATATTCACTATCTCAATTTTCCTGTGTGAGTCATTAAGTGTTATCATAAGAACAGCAATATCCCCAAAGTTAATTCATAAAATGGTAGCATTAATCTTCTAAATGAAATGAAATGCAGGGTTTCTGAAAAAAGTGATAATCATCTTGAAAACCAGGAACAATCAGATGATGAACTCAGCATAATGGCAGTATGATATCATATTGCACTATATGGAACAACAGTTGCTTTTGTAAATCAAAAATAAAAACAAAAAAAGTATCTAGAAATCCCATTTGAATATAGGATAAAACAATCTCCATATCTTTTGAACAAATTAACCTTATCATGGCAAGACAGAAGAGTAAAAGCAATCTCAAAGCAAAGCTTCTAAGGCCAAGCAGATGCCCCATTCTTAGAAAGAAGTATAAGTAAATATGAATTGCTTATATATTGAGGTAAACATTATTTGGCAACACTTAAACGGCTGTCTAGAAAATGACAACTGTATATTACCTTCTTTGCAACAGGCCTACTTCAGAGAATGCAGAATTCGTTCAAACTGCATTTTTCTAGCACTCTTCATGTTTTTCAGGAAGAAAAATCACATCGTTTATTTAATACTTGTAGAAGGGAGCTGTAAAAGAGGAATACATACTAGCCATGCACAATATTGTTAAAGTGTTTAGTTTTGCACTGGGATTATTCATTTGGACTATTACTTTTTCCCTTCTGATTATGCTGAAAGTAAATATACATGAAGGGATTTTTCCAGTTTCCTATTACTGAGAGTAAATTAGTCTTCTTACAAATTAAAGTGAATTGTTACTACTCTTACTGCTGCCCTCAATACAAAAGAAACTGTAGAACAGGAAGGGAAAATTAAGCTCCGGTCATGCCATCCATCTCTGCTCTCAGACAGTATTGAACTATAGGGCTACACAAATTAATATTAGTGTTCTATGTTAGAATTTCAATTGTAAAGATTTTTTTTAAAGCAAAAAGGAAAAAATGGTGCTAAACTTTCACCCCTGAGCACATTTGGTAAGACTGGTCATGCAAGCATATAGTGCCGTATCAATATTGCTTTTTTTAAAAAAGAAAATGTTTGCCCTGTTACATGTAATCAGCAGTGTATAGCATTAATTATTTGTTTTTGTTTTAATGAGTGTAGGGGAGTTTAGGAGTCAGATGGGGGCCTTAATATTTTAAAGAACAGACTTTTAAGAGAGACAACTTATTTGGTCTAATTTTATTATTATAATGAAATAAATCAAAATAGTTTTGGAGTGAGAGCTGGTCCCATTCCATGCCCCCGTTTCCATCTAATCCCCTAATCCATAGTAATGGAAATGCCTCTGTTAAAGTTGGATTGTGATTTTCTTTTAGTAGGTAAAAACAGCAACAGGCAATGGAACACACAGAACAGTAAGATAAATGAATTGCATCACAGTAATTCAGTCACAGTATGGTATGTCAATGCTACAGAATGAATTGATCATGGATCTATATATTATAGTGATGTACTATGATGAGCCCAATATAGAAAAGATATGGAAACCAACAAAAAAAGCCAGAAGTACGCTGTCTTTTCAAGAGTCCTAAATGTTGTATTTTCCATCTGATTAAAGAGTGATGTAACTGTACAGCGAACTTAGCAATAGTATTCTGGTGTGATTGGGAAATGGCTCATCCTTAGTTACAAGCAAGTGCCTTTTGGTCTAGGAGAATTTATTTTAAGTGGTTGAGAATCTCCTTTGTTGCAGCCTAGAAACTCTTATGGGATTTTTTTTAGTTCCCATCCCTTCCAAGTAACAGCAGAGGATATCATTAATTATCAGAAGTTCGCTGTTTTTAATATTTTTCAAGAGATTTTCTTTTCATAATAAATAGCAATCTCAATAGAGGCATTTCAATTCAAAAGATGTTACAGTCAACATATTACATCAACCTGTTCTGAATATTATTTTTAATTGCATATTTTAACCTTCCACATTTCAAGTTTTGCACATAACCCTTTTCCCTACTCATTTTAACATTGCAGTCTTCTCTGACTGAGTGCTGTTTTGTACCTTTTCCCCAATTCTAAAATGAATAATGCTTTGGTTAATTTAAGTTGTTCCTTTTAAAGAACCTCTTTAAACCTTCAGTGAAGAGATGTCAGACCAATTCTTTGTTATTACACTTGGTTGCCTCCTAGCTATATAACTTCTGAGTGTAAATCATTGAACTTTACCCTCTAATGAAGTATTGTAGAAAATAAATTGTAGTGGATACATTTTTATCTTGTCCCTTTTTTATTGGAGTCTGTCCGTTTTGACTTTTCACATAGAAATTTAATAATTCAAATTATCTTTCTAAAAAAATAAATTGAACTCTAAGATGGTGGCAAAACCAGCATGAAAAGGGGGAGGGGATCATTAACATTACTGTGTTTTACAAGATAAAGTCTCAGAAAGAATGAGATTCGACATTTCTTTAAAAAAAAAAAAATAAACCCTTCACATTTGTTTGGCTGTGGTATTTTGTCTTGGGATCCATATAGAATATTGAGTAATAGGCCTTGTATAGTTTTTTCCCCCTTTTATAAACAAGAATTGAGATTATATTCCAGGAATACCAATANTATATATATACACACACACACACATACATATATCTTTTCTTGTAATATGTGTAAATCTGAAATTTGATCTTAAATTTTAATTGTGACTAAATACTTCTTAGAATGTAGTAAAACTTCCAAATTATACTATGATGAGCTGTTTTATATGTTTGTGAGCATGTTCTCTTTCCACTTTAGTGCACTTAAGGACAGCAGATTTCCACCCCTGACTCGTGAAGAGCTGCCTAAACTTTTCTGCTCTGTCTCCCTCCTCACTAATTTTGAGGATGCCACTGACTACTTGGACTGGGAGGTAAAACTGTGAACCTGAATTTTCTATCACCCTTTTGTGCCATTTGGATTCAGATCAATATCTTGTACTATGCATACATAGTAATGGTAAGTTATAATGATAGAATTTAAAGAATGAAATTTTAAAAAGGGATGATTAAAACTGAATTACTGAATAAATTACTTCAGTCCCTCCCAAATGATTATTACCTTGAGACATAGGCAGGACTTCATAGCTTCAGTGAACCTGAGAATGGTGCCAACACAAACATGGATTCCTCATAAGGACACCTAATTAAAATCAAAATCAGAGGAATAGGTGAAGCTAATAGTAATTTACATGTGAACTGATAGGCCTCCATAGAAATAAAGGATGCCAACTTCCTAGGAAAAGTTGCTGGAAGAACTGAGATTAGAAAAACAAAATGTTTCAGAACAGGAAACTGAATGAGTTAGAGATGAATATTTTTCCAATATGTGTTTAGCAAATACACTATAAGAATGGAAGGTTTGGATGAGAGAGGAGCTGAAATAAACATTAGAAATCAAGTCATGAGCCAATTGTGATATGGAAAATATTTCATCATCTCTGAAACTAAAGAAGAGAGAATAGCTCATTATGAAAATGAAAAAAGCAAAGTTAATGTTAAAGGGTGATACACAGTTTTGTTTTCTTAAGGCTTAAGCTAAGGAATAAAGACGGACATTTCTCTGGAAAAATAAAAAGAACAGTTCTAATGAGGAAGACAAATTTAAAAATATACATATCTTTTATAATCTTGACAATGACATCTAAAATTACAGTTACACTATAGAAAGAGAAAAGAAATGGGTACATTTAAATTAGGGGTTTGGAAACAGTTATTAAGAATAACAAAGCAAGAAGGATAAATCAGTCAACTTTTACTCTTGGATAATAAATGCCAAGCAAAAATCACCTCTTTGTGGTCAGTAGGGACTAATACAAGAATTGAAGGCAAGGCAAGATTTTTTTTGGATTGATGTTTGAATAAGATCCATGGCAAGGGTGAATCCTTTTTCCCAGAAAATACATCCCAACTGACTTAATATTTCTATTTTTAGGTTGGAATCCATGGGATCAGAATTGAATTCATCAATGAGAAAGGTGTTAAACGCACAGCTACATATTTACCTGAAGTTGCTAAGGAACAAGGTGAGTTAGGAATAAAATATAAATTCTATATTAAGTAAAAACTGTATAAATGAAAGAATGTAAATCATGAGATAGTGATGTTCTGAATCAAACCATTTCATCTGGCTGAAATATTCAGAGGCTTTGACCTTAAATGGTTCAAAATAGTAATATGTTCAGTGGGTGGTGATTTTTTTAAGGTATTTTTTTATTTGTTAGATTTATATGCTAATTTTTGTTAAGGAACAAGGTGGCAGTCTTGTTTTAAATGCTGCATTATTCGTAACTGTTTGGACTTTTAAATATTTCAAACCGTGAAAACAGATTATGGTTTGAGTCAATGATTTATTTTGATGTTTTGCCCTGAAATATAATACAATTCCGCAAATTATTTATTCCAGCAAGAAGAAAATCACATTTTCTCTTCCTGTATAAAAATACCAAAGTATAATTTAAACCCTACAGGGAAATTTAGTAGATTTAAAATTTTAAATTATAGCTATAGTATACTTCACTTTTAAGCATGATTAGATTTGTTTATTATATAGATAAAATAATATGAATCCCTCTAATATTAGAAGTGATAATTTTGGATGTACTTTTGGATGATCATACTTATTATTGAAATAAGTATGCATGAAATTTTAATCATGTAGTATTCAATATTCACAGTTACTATTCTATTTATCAGTAGCTATTTATCAGCAACTTATCAATAACCTGAGTAACTTGAGCTTTCTCTTTTAAATTAAGCTTGTATTTATAAGTCTGCTGCTGTCATTTTCAACAGATTGGGATCAGATTCAAACAATAGACTCCCTGCTCAGGAAAGGTGGTTTGAAGGCTCCAATTACCAATGACTTTAGGAAAACTATTAAACTCACCAGGTAAACTTTTTTGTAATTTTTGTATTAGTATTATCACTGCTTCTGTTTCTAATTGGAAGAGCATATTTCTGAAAATTGTTTTTTTATGCAAGGTTTTAAATTTTAAATTAAATGATCCTGATCCTATAGTTACTACCGCCACCACCATCACCCCAATCGCCAAATTGCTAACAATTTGAATTTATTTTACATTTTTATGGGGTTTTTTTAAATCTACAAAGAAATTTTAGGGGAGGAAATGACATCTTGAGAAAATAAAATCTATGTTATCTTTTAACATTTATTTTACTGTTTTAACAGTATTAAATTATTTATTTATTTATTTATTTATTTATTTATTCATTCATTCTATAGGTTCTATATAGCTGCCCATCTCACCCAAGTGACTCTGGGCACCTTGCAATTCTAAAACTATAACACAATTAAAGCAATTAAAAACAATAAAAACATCCAAAGTATAATTTCATACAGCAACCGAGATAATTAAGCTAACAGTAAAGCAAAGAAACAGGGCCCCTAACACATTCCAAGCCTTCTATGAAAGGTCAGTGGGGTTGGCACCATTCTAATCTCTGAGGGGAGAATATTCCAAAAAGTAGGGGCTATACTCTATGAATTAATTAGTGGAATCTTGCTTAATTTTTTCTGCCCATTCAAAAACAAGATTTTCAATAATTTTGAAATAATTAACAGTCAAAAAATTTAAAAAGAACCATAAAATGGAAACATTAGGGAATATTTAGGCTTTGATATTTCTAGAAGTATCATAATCATAAAGGTTGACTAACCACTTTATTTTAATAATATGAAAATTAATTGCTTAATTTCATGAATTGTAAATGTCCTCTTCCATTGTTGCTCTTTTGTAACAGGTATTTAAGTCAGCTCTTGTATGAAAAGAGTAGACAGAGCTAATTAGTCCAGTAGCCACCTGTAGTGACATACTTCCCAATTCGGTTCCCAGGCCAACGCACAAAGCCAGGTCTTTAGGCCCTTGTGGAAGGATAGTGGAGTGGGGCAAACCTTACCCCAAAGGGCAGGCAGTTCTAGAGAGCTGGCGTTACAGGAGAAAGTGCTCTTCTCCTAGATCCTGTCAGTCAGAGTTCCTTGACCAACAGGATCCTCAACAAACATTCTGCCAGCACAGGTAGGGCAGGCTTGTCTTAGCAAGATGAGATAGCTCATCAAGTAATTTGGACCTATGCCATGAGGAGCTTTAAAGGTCATAACCAACACCTTGAATTGCACTCAGAAGGAGAGCAGCAACCAGTGTAGGTCACAGAGCAGTGGCATAACATGGGTCATTCTATGGGCCCCATAGTTTGTTCATGTTGCTACACTTTGTACCAGTGGAAGCTCCCAAATGGATTTCAAGGATAGCTTCATGTAAAATGCATTGTAGTAATTCAGACAAGAGATGGTTAGGGCTTGAATGAATGAGCACAGGAAGTCCTGATCAGGAAAGATTTCCGCTGAGAAGAGAGCTGATGTCGTGACGGCACGACATGCAATCTTGGTGCTCCAAGATTGCAGTCAAATTTCAGCCACTGGACGGTCCATTCGGACCTAAACCGGCCCACAGAGATGGTGATTGAGAAGGGCACCTCCTGCTGATCTCAGGGACACCGCAAAGTCCCTGAAAGATCNAAAATAAACCCTTCACATTTGTTTGGCTGTGGTATTTTGTCTTGGGATCCATATAGAATATTGAGTAATAGGCCTTGTATAGTTTTTTCCCCCTTTTATAAACAAGAATTGAGATTATATTCCAGGAATACCAATATCAATGCAAATTATTTTTAAAATAAGTCACTTAAGACTAAAGTTTGTCTTGCTCTTTTTAGATTATCTAATAAAGCATTTTTATATCAAATTAGAATATGGAATGTTAGCAGCAGTTCCCTTGGGAAAACTCAAAATTGTAAAAAGAGAAATGATTAGAGTGAACATAGATGTCCTTGGCATCAGTGAATTACACTTGACAGGCAATGGTCAATTTAAATCAGATGAGTTTGTGGTTTATTTTTCTGGAAATGATAGATGAAAAGGAACTGCATTCTGCATAAGCAAACAAGTTACTAAATGTGTTGAGTATCATAAAGCATACAGTGATCTCATAATATCTATCCAAATTTGAAGCAAGCCACTCAACATTATCGTACTACAAATCTATGCTCCCAACTATAGACTTAAATGTTGATAAAATTGAACTTTTTTACAGTAAGCTTCAATGTGCTCTCATGTAAGTACCAAAAAAGGATCTTTTGCATATTATGGCAATTTCAGTGCAAAAGTAGGTCAAGGAGAAATTGCAAGAATAGTAGGCAAGTTTGGGGTAGGAGAATGGGTTGAAGCTGGCAATCGCCTAGTGCAATTTTGCCAGAAAAATAATGTCAGAGTAACGAACAGCTAGTTTATTCAGCAGAAGCGATGTTTATACACATGGACAGCACCAAATAGACAACACTGAAATCGGATAGACTTCATTTTATGCCAACAATGCTGAAAAGGTTCAGTTGCATCTATTAAGATGCTTCCTGCCACTGATTGTAGCTCAGACCATCAGTTATTAGTGACTAAACTGCAGCTCAAACTATTAAAAGTGAAAAGGGTACTATCCTCATCCCTTCAGAATTCAATGCGGACAATATGTCACCTATGTATATCATAGAACTTAAGAATAGTTTGAATCACTGAATCTAGAAGGGAAAGATCCGAATGAACAGTGGCAAGAGATCCAGAGGAACATCATGGAAACTGCTGGAAAACATACCAAAAACTAAAAAGAACAAGATATGATACCTGATGGTACTATCAAAATAGCTAATCAGCGTAGGGTGGCCAAAGCCAAAGATAATAAAGTTAAAGTTAAAAGGCTAAATGCAATTTTCCAAGTGAAGCCCGGAAAGACAAAAACAAGCAGTGGGAGAAGCAGTGTCAACATCTGGAAGAAGCAAACTGGAAGGGGCATACTAAGGTCATGTTTGCTGTAGTGAAAATGATGTGATCCAGCTTTTCAACATGGCAAGGAATTGTTGAAGACTGCAATGGAAATGTACTAAGTGACCAGCAGAAGATCAAGAACAGGTGGAAAGAATATATAGAACTCTATAGCACCTTCGAGTTACCATAAAGATGAGAATGACAGCCCAATTAATAAAGAACCAAATGTCTTGAAAGAAGTAGTATGGGCCCTGGAGAAGTTGCTGAATTGAGTAATTCCAGGTATTGATGGAATACCTGCAGAATTACTAAAACCTGTGCCAATTAACACCATCATGGCCCTGTGTCAAGAAATATGATCTACATGTCAATGACCTCACAACTGGAAAAGATCTGTTTTTATCCCATTAGTAAAGAAAGGTGGTGCCAGAGACTGCTCCAACTATTGCAAATTGCATTGATTTCTCATGTAAGCAAGATTCTGTTAAAGATCATTCAACAGGGGCTACAGAACACTCTCAATCAAGGGACGATGTATAAACAGGCTTTAGAAAGGGGCATAGCACTAAAGATCACATTGCCAATATTAGATAGATTATGGGAAAGGCACAGGGATATCAAAAGGACCTATATGTGTTATTGATTAGAGAAAAGCTTTTGCCTGTGTAGAATACAATAAGCTATGGGCAGTTTTGTGTGTGATTTTGGTGTCCCAACCCACCTGATCAGATTTACCAGTTCACTGTACAGTGATCAGAAGGCAACAGTAAGAACACTATTGAGACACAAATTGGTTCGGGTTCAGTCAGGAAGTTAGATAGGAATGCATTTTATTACCATTTATTTTCCAGTAAGCTGAAGTGATCATGCAGAAATTAGAACTGGAACTACCTGATTTGGGCCTGAAGATTGGAGGAAGAATCATAAATAATTTGAGCATGCAAATGATACAATACTATTGCCTGAAAATAAGGATGACCTGAAAAAATGATACGGAAAATCAGAATCACGGAATTGGAAGGAACCTTCGAGGTATTTTAATTTAATCCATCCCCCTACTCAGGCAGAAAACCCCCACGCCTTCTGTCCTCTCCTTTCAATTGGAAATTATAAAGCAGGAAATACATTGCATGAGACTTTCACAAGAAAAGCAAATCCTGTGCATTGAATTGAGCACTCTACACAGATGCTAGAAAATTAAACCTGTATGCAGTAAAGATTATTTACAACCTAGAGGTGGGGTGGTGGCAAGAAAAGCAATTTTCCAAAGCAAGTTTCAGTCACCTTAACCTACAGGAAAAGGTGTTTTGAAAGGTAGATTATGAATAATTTTCATGGCAAACTACATAATGTTGGAGACTATCAAACCTGCAAGAAACTCAGATACATGTATTTATTACATTTAGACCACTGCCCTATATCTATTCATTTTGGAATAAATCATATCAACGAGATGAATTTGAATAAACATTTACAAGGATTTAGTAATTAGCTAATGAATCACCCTAATGTTCTCTAGTATTTTTGTACTGGCTTTTTCTTGTCGTCCTCCCCATGTTTTAGACTAACCTCCCTATCTAACAGAATAAGATAAATAAATAAATAAATAAAAAGATGTAGGGCAGAGCTCACATGTCTGTTATTATTAATTTACAACTAAACCTCGCTGAACTAAGGCTTTCAAATCCCGAATTCCCTCACGAGGAGGATTTATGCGCTTTACAATACGAGCGAATTGCTTTCAGCGCTACGCCCGGTTTTCCCCACCGTCCTTCTGAGGCCAACGTCATGGGAGCGCTTTGTTCTGTCTCCTCCAGGGGGCGTCGATGATGTGTGGTCGCCGGTGTTTTGCTCGTCGTTCGTATTTCCGGCCCACGGCGCGCGTTCTGGGCACCAGATGAAACCATGGCGGTAGGAGGTACTGACATTCGCGCCGTAGATGTGGAAGAGGATGCATCTCAGCTTGTTTTTCCCAAGGGTGAGCGGAAAAGTCTTGGGGAGACTAAAGCAACCGGAGAAGCTAAGGAAGGTTGCCTAAGGGAGATTCCCGTGAACGGACACAGAAGAACTAGACCGTATTACTAGACAAT